GAGCAATTAATGACTGATAGATTTTACTGTGTACAAGTCTATTACTACGTGGGACATGATGAAGAGGCTTCACACACAGGCCCTCGTGTTTTTGCGACGATAACAGATATTGTTTTTGAGATGACCCCCCGACTCGAAATGCTTCACAGTACAATGTTATCATGTATTGTACTGTGAAGCATTTCGAGTAGGGGGTCATCTCAACTTTTTATATATTATATACGTAATCCTCGCAAAGACACGAGGGCCTGTGGCTTCACATTGTTAAACCATTATTTGACCCGAGTTTCGGCGAAATGAGCTACTGCACGCTCTTTGGGCAATCAAAATACCCGCGCTTGCAAAATGAACAGTTGCTGTACGTTTGAGTGAGTGAGTGAATATTGATTAACGCCACATCGGCAATGTTGCAGCTATTCGCGGCGATCTGTACGTTTTAGATGTAGCGTGTAATTGTGTTTACAGAAAATAAACGTCGAAAAGTACTCCCGGAGACTATACAAATTCTATAGTGATTGAATTCGATACTTTAGTTAAAGTCGGTCACACCGTATATTAACACTGATCACGCTGATAACGAGACCAAATAGGAATTAACAGCTCTGCCAACAAATCACTGTAACATATGTAATTACTCGAAGTCACGGTAACCCGGACAACGCTCTTGTTTATCACACTAAGTGGTTAAGAAACACATAACTCAGAACCCATTTCCTTTGTACATCTAAAGTTTACTTTGATTTTCGTTGAAGATAATTGACACATTGATTAGGCATCTTCGTAAATGATCACAGGTTTAATATATATTTTAGTGCCAAATATTCATAGTCTCAGTAAAACTGTTTATGCTTGTGTGTTGTACATATTGCACATAAGCCAAATTAAACTCACTATATCACACTGCAAATCGGAGCAGTTCTTTTAGAAAAGATAACTAAAGACTGGACATAAGAAACATACATTTCTCACACAATATATGCAGGTTCTGTTCAATACTCATTCAGAATCCAAAACGACGACGAGATCGTGTCCCTAGGCGACAACCAGTTTGACTTCTCTAAGAGATACTGTCCACACAGCTCGTGGTGGGAACCCAGTCTTCTGCGTGAAGATATGGCGAATGTTTCCGTGCGCTTTCTGTGCGTGTGAACTATGATCAAATATGAAAAAGAAAAGCTGCAATTGAACTGAAAAACTTCTTTGTACGTACAGTGCAATATCTTCACGAACGATCTCCGGTTATTCAGACGCTGGGATTGAATGAGTGAGTTTAGTTTTACGCCGCACTCAGCAATATTCCAGCTATAAGGAGGTATTGGGATTGAAGACCATGACAGTGTCTCTGACAAAAATGAAACCGATGTTCCTTGGGATGGGTAAGAAGTCACATATACGCCTTCAAGTGCGCTCGGGGCGGTGGGGTAGCCTAGTGGTTAAAGCGTTGGCTCGTCACGCCGAAGACCCGGGTTCGAATCTCCACATGGGTACAATTTGTGAAGCCCATTTCTGGTGTCCCCCGCCGTGATGTTGCTGGAATATTGCTTAAAGCGGCGTAAAACCAAATTCAGTCAGTCAGTCAGTCAAGTGCGCTCAACATACAACATGCAGTCAGTAACACACTATCTACTCAATGCAGGTATATGTATGAATCACAGATAACAAAATTTCATTTTTATGAAAAATAACCATCCAGCGATGCGTTGAACAAAACCGTGCATGTCAGAACAACGTGAAACTACTCCCTGACACACGTTTGCATTAAACAGATTTAACAAAGTCCGCAGCAAGTGTGTACACAGACTACGGAACGTTGTACGTTGCACAATCTGCAAACTTCTTCTTTGTGTGTAGTTAAGAACATAGCACCACTTCCTAAAATTCCTGGGCCCCGTTCCTCAAAGCGATCGTAGCGCTACGACAGTCGTAAGTCTATGTTAAAGTATGGGAGTTACGATCAACTTTGCGCTACGATCGCTTTGAGGAACGGGGCTCAGGACAGTCGGGGCGGTGGGGTAGCCTTGTGGTTAAAACGTTCGCTCGGCACCCGAAGACCCGGGTGCATTTCGGAGCATAATGGTCTTGTCAATAGGTTGTGTTAAAATGATTACTAATTGATGTCAGTCTGAGAATTATCCACCACACAGAGCTAATCACTGGTATACATGATCACAGTACACCATACCGCACAAATAGACAATAACACACAATATGGAGAACCGCACACATAAATTTATACACACAATTCCCCATGCAAATTGATAAGACCTCTATCTACCAGGCATGTACTTCCTGGTGTAGACTTTAGATGGCTTCCCAGTCTACGAACCGATGTAGTCCAAATAATCATAGTTGTTATTTCATTATCACTGTTCGGTAAGTATATATGATAACAACGACGTTCTCGATTGAATGTTCTTTGTCTGTTTAAAATGCATGTCCTCGGTCAATCCCACATGAAACCAACCAAGAGTAGCATATAATTTAAGGTTTACAGCAACCAAGATGTAATTCATTACGTAGGACTACATCATCGGTTGGAACAGCGAGCTGGGCCCCGTTCCTCAAAGCGATCGTAGCGCTACGACAGTCGTAAGTCTATGTTAAAGTATGGGAGTTACGATCACCTTAGCGCTACGATCGCTTCGGGGAACGGGACCCAGGAGGATTCGGTGGGTGAACGCCAAAGCACCGCCTCAGTCGTTCACGGATTTCCTCGCACACTGTACATTTCAGTTGGACAATTCCGAAATTGAGTATGAGAGCATTCTTGAGTAAACCATCATCAAGATGGCAGACTTCCATTCGCAATAAAAGCTTCAAAGGGCACACCTCCGAAATATCAGTCAAATACCAACTGATACTTCCTGTCCGAGTTAGTAACCGACCATTTCTTTCCGTGGGTAGGGGTAGGTTATGGGATACTCGGATGCTGGGAATTCATTGACTGGAGCAATTCATTGTAATGCAGCCATAAAATGAGGTATATTTTCTTTACTAAGACTGTTAGCCTGACTGAATGTTTGGAAAAAAAACAACTTACTCTTTTTTTCAGTTTCTCTTTTTAATAGTTTCTTGTTTGTTTATTGTTTCTGTTTATTCATGAAATAATTACTACATTGACCTTTTGGGGAATTCGCTTCAGTTAGATAATCGTTCTTTGCATTTACTAAATGGTAATATTTGTCCTTACAGGTCTAGTTGGTTTGAAGTTAGTTGGTTGGACCGTACTCAGCAATATGCCAGCCAAATGTAGGCGGTCTGTAAATAATCGAGTCTGGACCAGACAATCCAGTGATCAAGATCATGAGCATCGATCTACGCAATTGGGAACCGATGACATGTGTCAACCAAGTCAGCGACCCTGAACACCCGATCCCGTTATAAGTCGCCTCTTACGACAAGCATGGGTTACTGAAGATCAATTCTAACCCGGATCTTCACGGGTCTGTTGGTTTGAAACATAAGCTACAAGCCACTGTGCGTACATTTCAAAATAATTAAAGTTTGAGGAAATATAAAATGTTGGTTAATTTATCATATTAGTTTTGTTTTCAATGTTGTTACGTCCTTATACACCGCGTTAAGTAGGAATTGCCTATGACATTTAGGGATATGCGAAAATGAATGTATTCACCCATGTTTGACGTGGCCAAATATGAAAAACACACACACACACACACACACACACACACATGTAATGTTTTGATAACGATAATCTTTTTCAATCAAATACGATTTCATTTTCATTTCCCTGGCTGTTTATGAATGAAGAACTTCATCCAGAAAACAGTATGGAATATGTCAGACCTAGCTTGGAGCACTGGTTAGCTGAATAATTGCGAAATGATAAATGAACAGGATATCGCCTTCCTGACAGGAAGTCATCTTTCACTGGAATATCCGGTATATACGAGTCGTATATCACATGGGTGGTATCTGTTGTAAACAGGCTACCGATTTCGTGATTATTTGTCTCACACAGAATTAAACAGAACAGAATGTCAGTGTACAATATGTTTAAAAATACATGTATGGTGACAAGACATTTGGGTATATTTACGTACAACAGGCATGTATTAACTAGAAACAAGGTGTGAAAGGTACACGGGACAGGTATTTTTTTATCTAAAGGAGTTATAGCTTTGCATTAGGAGAGTGTTTACCCAAGTTTGTGAAAGGAGCGTTTTTGTATATACTTTAAAAAACAGTAGCAGGTAAACATTCGGGTTAACATAAAAGTATGGTGGCAACAGTTTATTTCTAGATTCGCTAAAGCAATCACAACACAAAAGTGCATGGTATGCATCGCTAACAAAGCTATTCTGGCACAGATTTTAAGTTCTTTCGATTAGCGATACATCATTCCATCCAGTAGCCTGAGACATGATGTCCCAAATTTAATAAGATGATACCACAGGCTGTCAGAGAGCTTACTAAACTACAGCGTGTAAGCAGTTGTGAACAAACAGCTTGGTCGGCTGATTGTCATAATATATTGATTAGTAAACACACAAACAAACGAAAACATAAGAGTCTAGCCTTGTCGTAAAGCTGCGTATTTGCCCAAAATACGCAAAAAGTGGCAGGTGATAAACAAAAGTCGTTTAAGAAAAGGTATACTGCCTTAAATACATCCATATACTGAACCCAAGAGAGCAAAAGGTTATAGAATACCCGACGAAAGCTAACAATAACTAATGTGAATGATACCACATAAGTTAATATCCGTTAGATCAACAGCTATTTCCACAGAAAAGGAAATTTATAACAGTGATTTGGTTTTGCGTTAGAATATTTCTCATGTTACCTCTTCTACAAACTTTAAAAATATGTTGCGGATTGTTGATACAGTATTTTGAAAAACATTTGTTGAAAGAAACACCTACTTGATGTATGTTTCACCGCTCAGCTCAACACACGGACGCAAATAAATCAACATAAGCACACCGTCATCAATATTTCAGCACGGAATGAATAAAGCAAATCACTTCAATACTCACCGATGTGACACTTGCATATTTTCCGTCAGTCCAGCTGTTCAACAAATCTTCCAATGATGTTGTGTTCCACTTGCCGTCTGCACTGAGTAACGAGCAGACGACTTTAACTGTCAAACGAACACCTGCCGTGCGCCGCGTGGGCTGTCAGCACGCGCTCACCTGTACGCATGCTCATGGAATGGACGCTGATACTAATGTTTCCTTTACCTACGTTCTGATCGATTCCACACATGCTGTTATATAGTTACTGGGGACCTACAAGTGACCTGTTCCGTCATTGCAGCGCGTGTTGCTTGCGTATGGGTTCTGCCTTTGCCGAAACTCAATAAATCAGTTTCCATGACAACGTTTTGTTGTCTAAGGGCGGCCATACCGCGGACGTTAGATTATGAAGTAGTCATTTATTGTGTTTGTTTAACGGATAACCATCCGTTCTGCGATCGCCAGAAGCGTTTGTGCCTAACATACTTTCTGCGCAGACAGCTGATAGTTTACTAGAGCATTGATCGGCTGGCTGGGTTGACACAAATCTACTCATTAAGTTACTGCTGGCATTTTCAATGCATGTAAATTACCACTTTTGTATCAATCAATTTTCTATTTCCTGATCAACTGCATCTCTGTACTGCTATCAGTGATGTATTACTATTTTTTTAATCGTTTATTTCAATTTATCATCCGGTGTAAAATATCCATGAAATGTTTATGACATGTTAAGTACACTAGAATAATTACTCACAGCAGAATATTTCATTCAGTGACATTGCATTGGCGTGAGATTTCAACGAAGGCAAAACCAACACATGCCCCGAATCCATTCATGCAGCATCCGAAGTACTCCATCCAATCAGACTCTTCTACCTCTCTACCGGCTCTATCCTCACCCAACCTGTTCCCCTTAACCCCCATGGCGTCCCACTCTACCTCCACCCCTACCACCACCTTTACCACAATCTATCCCATATCTCTCACCCTAGATACCATCACCTGACCCATCTCTCCCCTGTACCATTCCGCGCGACCCGCACTCCACCTTTCCACCCAAAACCCTTACGCTCCCCCTCCACGTATAAGTATAGACACTGCTATTCACATTTCATTAAAGTATAGACACTGCTATTCACACTTTACAATGGTTTGGACACTGCTATTCACATTTCACAAAAGTATAGACACTGCTATTTAAACTTCTCAAAAGAAATACACAGTTTGGACACTGCTATTCACACTTCACAAAAGTTTGGACAGTGCTATTCACACTTCTCAATGGTTTGGACACTGCTATTTACACTTCACAAAAGTTTGAACAGTGCTATTCACACTTCTCAAAAGTATGGACACTGCTATTCACACTTCACAAAAGTTTGAACAGTGCTATTCACACTTCTCAAAAGTATGGACACTGCTATTCACACTTCACAAAAGTTTGGACAGTGCTATTCACACTTCTCAATGGTTTGGACACTGCTATTCACACTTCACAAAAGTATAGACACTGCTATTTAAACTTCACAAAAGTTTGGACAGTGCTATTCACACTTCCCAAAAGTTTGGACAGTGCTATTCACACTTCACAAAACTTTGGACAGTGCTATTCACACTTCACAAAAGTTTGGACAGTGCTATTCACACTTCTCAAAAGTATGGACAGTGCTATTCACACTTCACAATAGTTTGGACAGTGCTATTCACACTTCTCAATGGTTTGGACACTGCTATTTACACTTCTCAAAAGTACTGACTGAGTTTGGTTTTACGCCGCTTTTTGCAATATTCCAGCAACATCACGGCGGTGGACACCAGAAATGGGCTTCACACATTGTACCCATGTGGGGATTCGAACCCGGGTCTTCGGCGTGACGAGCCAACGTTTTTACCACTAGGCTACCCACCGCCCCTTCTCAAAAGTATGGACACAACGATTCACACTTCACAAAAGGATGGACACTGCTATTCACACTTTTGACCTTTGGGGCAAAAAACAACAAAGACAACTACTGTTTCACATTCTTATTCAATGTAAAAACAATCTGTGATGGACTTTATAAACTACATGAAAATAGACTACACACAGTTGTGATTCACATGGGTAGCCACGCACCTCCGCAAAAATAAAAACCTCATAGGGAAAAAGCAAAAATGACTAAAACTTAAACATATACACTGTAACTGGTTTTCAGTCAATAAGCCACCTGGCCATTTACAATTTTACTAAAATATTCTGTAAATCTTGAAAAAACCTTTCTGCACATAAAGTCAGTGCAGATTTCCAAGCAGTTCATATTTTCATGTGATATTGCATGAAAACTATTTGTATCCATATATTTATTTATAAAGCTGAGACCAATTCATTTTCCAGATATTGGAACACATCTATTCTACCATGTTAAACTTTGTAAATGCCCAAAAATATATCACGGTAGACAGAAAATGATTTTTTAACACGTTACTGATAAAGTTTGATTTTTTTTCAGGAAATCAAATTTAAGAAGTCTGTAGCATATTGGTTAGGAATTTTGTTGAACATGAAAATGAAAGGTCTAGTTTAAACTACATTTCAATGAGTTATATTATTTCTATCCATATTTATAAATATATTGGAATTATTACTGTTTCAACATATTGAAGCAATGACAGACACAAAGGAGACCCACACATGAGGAGGTATATAACATTAAATACAAGGCTACAACACATAAATAATGTATATACACTACAGTTTGTGTAAAATACAGTAAAATGGCAATACGTACACATCATAGATGAATGACAGAACTGACATGATCAATCACATGATAACAGCATTATGTAATGAAACATCACAACTGGGCATGGCATACATCGAGGTCCAGACCTTTATTTCTTAAATAACAGATTATATTGTGGAAGATTCAGGTCAGTCATTGGTAAAGAAATAAATAATGTTGTTGTTTTTGTTCTCCATAAAGTTATCTGAATATATGATCAGTGTTAGTTTGTTGCTTTTAAAGATAACACTACCACAGGAACATCTCCCTTGTGTGGCAAATGAAGGTTTGAATTTTGTGGAAAAATACCTGTTTCAGATTCTTTCTCCCAAATGTGCCTATTTAAGGGCAAGGGGAACCTAACATCTGAATCAAATGTAAAAGAGTTCCTTGTGAGTTTTATCAGTGGACTGACAATGTACAGCAGTGTGTTGAAACACAATCAGAACAGCTTCATATCTAACATCACAGTCAAACTCGTGGCATGAAAGGTGCATACCATTCACACAGTGGGTGAGAACGTGCAGTCAAACACAACTTCTCATTTACATCATCCTAGCAACATACACCTTCATACCCTTATTGCGAAAATGGTTGTTTCTGGCCATAAACTTCCCTATGTGGCCGTCTCATTCATGAAGTGAAGTGAAATGTGGTATTTATATAGTGTTCAGGATTATTTCCCTTTCTCTTGTAGTTAGTCCCGATTTATGCCAGTTTTACAATGCTAGTCCACTGAGCCTACATGCCACAGTCAAACATGGACAACCCACACACAGTATAGGACTCAAAGTCCACTGGTTCAACTCCCTCGTGCTTGAGTGCCAGACCACGTAACAAGTTTTATTTGTCTACGTCTTTTAGTATGTCTTGGTTATCACTATGGATCAAAACTGATTTTTTCATTTCTCATATTGATACAAGAAAACAATTACAAAGTGAACTGTAGAGTTATTCATGAACCCTTGTTTTTTCTTTCTGGGGATCAGTAAATTCTTTCATGTACAGCTGCCATTTTTATAGATATTTAACTATATTCTGGAGAGGACTTTTTGTTTGGGAATAATATTCTAACTAGCACTACAATATGTATTGTTTTGAGAGTGGCATGTAATGATATCAGGCCTAACTCTGGGCTGACTATCATGGCAGTTTATTGCAACTGTTTATCGATTTCATCTAGTGCACTGACCTAATTGTCACTTTACACAGTAGTTGAGTTATATCAGAACATATCAGGTTAACATGGGCGGAAAACACAACAGGATGCAGATCATGTGTCCTAATCATGGTAAAACCTATCAGCTACTAAGGGAGGCAACTGTGTTCAATATGGAAGAAGGACCACTAACAATATTTAAACCCCATAATATTCCCTCTGACAGGCAACAACAGGCATTTCTCATAAACACTATGTGTTGCTGTCCTAAGTAATGATTGTCACAGCACACACAGTAGCACAGAGTGAAATCTAGTTGTACCAATGTTCTGAAACAGATCTATTACAGTGCTGTCAAGATATTCGTCTCACATAAAGGGAGACAACTCTACCTTTGTGCCTTTATGCTTTAAAAACTTCCTGAATCAGGATAATGAAATATGTTAGGATTATGAATTATGAAAATCTGACATAAAATAGTGATCAAGTCTTTGATCGCAATTTAAAATGAATCAACTAAAAACTAATGTTTACATTTACATGTAAGATGCTTCAACAAATCATTGTACATTTTGAAGATGTACCATCAACATAACACTGTAGAATGGTGCACTGATACTTCATCAATGGAAGATGACTGGATACAGCCACAGTACACACTCAACTAAGGCCAGGGCTACGAACGTTTCTAGAATAGCTTGCCAGGTTCTGATTTCAAACGGAATAGTGAAAAATTGGCTTGTAGGTTGGAAAAAAATAATATAAGAAATGTGTTTACATGATTCTCTTCACAAACTTAAAGTTTTATTTGGCTGGTCAAGTGAAAAATCTTAATGGTGAAACGATTTCTGTTTTGGTGTTAGTTTCATTATTCTCATTGTCAATGCTATCTTTACCCTTGGCATAAATATAACCTTGTCATTCTGATTTTAAATATTAACAGTGGAAGTCATGGATATTTTGTACTTAAACCTATAAAGGTAGACGTATATTGACAAATGCATCATCAACAAAAACAAAACCTTTCAGGTGCGACTTCTTCAACCTGACTCTGTGGTTTAGTCGGTGTTGATGTTCTTCGAGAATGCCTGCATTATATTCGAGAAATTGGTGAAATGATAGTTTGTTACTGAGGCTCAGGGGACGGGACTACAAGCAGACCAAAGAGGCACGAAACCTTTTAAACTTGAAACATAAAAGTCTGTTACTGTCATGCAAAATAACTGTACAGTTTTTGTAACATCAAAGAATGGTTGATATTGCCTTAGGAAAAATTGTGACGACTGCTGATTTTGAAAGATACATAGCTTAATTTTTAAAAATCTGAAAGTCACCATGTAAACTACACTAACTGGTCACACATCACATTCAGCACGACTTCTACGTCATCAGAAGCACTGGTTTCTAGACCTATGTACACATCAACACTGATGTATTGCTGTAAGTAGGGAATTTCAGAGGTTCCAATGACAACTACTCCCAGATTATGACAATAAGAGGTTGCCACGACAACTGTCTCCATATCTATGATAATCAGAAGGCTGTCATGCCAACTATCCCCACAAATGGAAAACTGTCATCATACAAAACTCCAGAGAGGAAGCACTTCTTAAAAAAAATTAGCAAAGAAAATCTTAGTTTCAGCTGAGCACAATTTGCTTCTGTTGAACGTAAAGGACTAACTTGATGAAACAAGACCTTCATCATCAGGCATTGCTTATTGTGAACATGCAGTCATCTGCAGACATTGCACAATGTTTTACTTCGTTTCAGGATCTGCCATCAAGAACATATTAATTGCGAACACAGAGAGGCATGGAAGTCCAAGACGCAGACACTGTCTGCACATTTTATGAAATAGTCATCTCCAAATCATATGAACATTTTCAAAGGATTATTTACTTCAACCAGTCCAGCAATGTTTTTACGATACCTTCATGAAATGACCTAAATATCTTTCAGACAATCAATAAACATTATCCATTTGATTCGTAATCATCGGACTCAACATCAAACAAAAAATATCCATAGGACTAGAAGAAACTATGAATTGTAGCCATCCCATGCAGGCTTTCAATCTTAATGGCCACCTGCGAACCTCACCAATCAGGAATTTTCGGATAAAGAATCCAGTATTTGTTCTCAAACAAACAATATAAAAACTTTTCTTTTATATTTCACAAACATTCCAGCTTAAATATGTAATCTTGTCCCAAAAGATTCTTATGCTGTATTTCAAACAAACCGAAGGTCTATTAATTTGTTTTACATTTCAACTCAATAACAAACTGAAGGATCTGAGAAGGAAAATATGTAAATGACTAAGTAAATGAAGGCCCAATATCTAGCAGGAATGGCCAAATAATCACACTGGCATACTCATGAGCAGTACGTCAAGTATGAAGCCTTGTATGGTGTAGATGTTTTGATGTACAGGAGTGGTCTCCCTTGTCACAGTGTCCCACCCCTCTCTGAGGGAATGATCAGGAACTGCAGCTTAATATCAGTTAGAAATGGGATATATGGAAGTTCAGTAGTCATCATCACTGTCATCATTTAGTGCACTTTGCCGCACTGCCAAGTTCATGACATCTCTGATTTCCTTCTTAGGTGATTCCTCCATGTCTGTTTTCACAGCACCTATTTGAGCTAGCATCCACTCGAGTTCTGAAACAAAACAACAGTTCACTGTTCATGTTGTCGCCATCAAACCTATCATTAGGTTCAGAACTGCGACACGAGCAGAACCATCTCCAACACTGAGTACAATGAGAAGGATACATGGGATCAAATGTGCCCTGATATTTGCACAAAGTCTACTGCCAGACTCTGTCTGTCCCTATAACTCTTGGTGTTCCTAGGAAACAGTAGGGCTGCAACAATTCACCCAGACCTCGATGGTTCGATTCGAATTTCGATACTAGACCCTCGATTCAATCATTTTCGATTTGATTCTACATACAAGTAAAAACATCACATTTCATGTAACTCTCAGGGACCGCTCATAATATAAGCATTTAAAAATATTTACAAATTATGCTTAAAAAATATGGGAAGGGGGAGTTGGGGGTCATTGATTTTGTACATGACATGCATTGAGGGTCACTTACTTTGTACATAAAATTTAGGGGGCATCAGTCACATTGTACATGCTTCCCCACAGAAATCATCATCATCCCCCTAGCCTTAAATTATGAACGGTCCCACAGAGTCGGCTTTTTTATCACGAAATCCATCGTCAATTTGGCGATGTCTACTAACAACAATTGTCATTATATAATTATCATGGCGTCAACCAATTACGTTTCGCCTTATTTCAGCACTCGAAACGGCGTTGGAGTAAAAATTGCATTCTGGCTTTGTGGAAATCATTTAAATTGGTATTCAAATATTGAATCGAAATAGTGATGATGGTTATCGAAAATTGAAACTGCCAGATTCGATTTTCGACGAATCAAACAGAATCGTTGCAGCCCTAGAACATAGTATGTACCCAGTCCACAGTTTTCAGATGAAACCATTTTGCGAAAAAATATATTAGGAATTCATATCAACTGAACATGTTCAGGGGCTGTGGAGTAGCCTAGTGGGTAAAGTGTTCGCTTGTCAAGCAAAGACCTGGGTTCAATTCCTCACATGGGAACTACTAATGAAGCCCATTTCTGGTGTCCCCCACCATGATATTGCTGGAATATTGCTAAAAGCAGCGTAAAACTTAACTCACTCACTCTCTGAACATGTTCAGCACCTGATATCTCTGCTGTAGGTGGGTTGAGTGAGTGAGTGACTAAGTGATATTCAACGTTGTTTTCCACAGTGTCTACACTATATTGCATCATGGCAGGATGAGGTGAAGGAAAGACCGAAATCAGGCACGTCTTAGAACTTTACCTTATCCGTTATGCAGTTATGGTCGTATTAAACCTAGAAATATAGCCCGGGTGAATCTGGAATCCATGATCAGGAGTTCCTAATTAAGGGACTCAACTCTGCACAGCATCGTAAATATCACATCTTGGTACAGTGAGACCCCAGATACCCGGACCCCAAATATCTGGAAACCTCGCCTTCCGGTCAATTTTCATAAAAAACACAATCTTTAACGTCATAAAAGTGACTGTCTATAACGGATATGCGGTTTCCGTTCCCGGACGGTAAATTTTACAAACCAACCGGTTAAATCAACTCAAAATTGACTCACTTATCCGCACGTAAAGTGTAACTCATGAAGATAAGCCGACCACCTTCTTCTCTATGCTTTTTTATCCTCAAAATTCGGCTTATAGCAATAATATACGGTAAGCCTGGATGACAGAAATCCAGATATCCGGATATTCAGTTATCCGGACGATTTACGTAAAAACGAATGTGTCCGGATATCCGGGGTATCACTATATATGTCAAACGTATGGATTTCTAAACAATATTCTGCCAGTCTTACCATCCTGTTTAAGGTTCATCCCCCCGAATGCTATTGGCCCAACAAACTGTTTCTTGAGGTCATCATTACAGTAGATAAACACGGTGGGCAGGTTCTTGTCAGGATAGTTAGGGATGCAGACTGACGACACGCCTTTCACAAACTTGGTTGCTGGGAACTTTCTGGCTAGGTTTGATAAATGTTGATTCATCAGCTTACACAAAGGAATGCTGAAAAACAAACGACACATTGTAGTAATATGTTAGTGAATTCCTTGCAGCTACACAAGGCCTACTGCTTACACTCTCTGTCAATAAGTCCTGGGTTCCAATTCACAGAGAAGATCTTAAAGCTAAGGTGTGACATAGACTTATGACAATTTTATCGCTAAAACCGCTTCATGGAAATTACCAAGGGCAAACACTCCTTTGACCTTTTACTTCAGTAATTACACACCATGTTTCATAATGTTTCTTTTAATCAGATCAGCACCCAAGAGAGAGTTTCATTATATCACTTCTATAGAGGTGTTGCAAAAACTGCAAAATGCTATACTGTATAAAATAATTAGGGTTGGAAATAATTAATAACATGTCCTATGACTAACAAGAAATGGAAATTTTGTAAGCCCAAATGAATAATTTATCAAACTTTATAATTATTGACGATTATTGTACTTCACATACAAAACCAACAGTTACATATTTGATATTTTGCCCAACTGGTGTGATAAGATGAAGTAAATAAGAGATGATCTGTGTAGCATCTTAGAACTAAATCAGTAGACTGACAGACCCACTGGATACAGCATCACCCTGGGGGTGGTCCCTGGGGGTGGGGAAATATCTTACCCATCTTGGTACACATGCACCACCACCCACACACCATCGCCAGCCTTGTTCACTTCCTTCACCCAGTCAGCCTTTGTGATCTCTAAGACGTCACCATAGTTACTCTTCATCTGTGCTGCCTTCATTTCAGCAATTCTTTGTCTCCTGGAAGCAGAGAGTAACAGAAAGTGAATCAGTGGTTTCAGCATTGGCCTTCAGAGTCAATTCTGATGGTGTCTCAGGGTTGTCGTTACTGTATACAGGTGCAGGCAAACAGGAAAAACATTATCATTTTGTTCAGAATTGGAAAGAGGTCTTAGTTTCATTGGTATTTATTAGCAAGGCTCCAGATAAGGGCCGTATCGGCATATGTACGGATATGAAATAAGCACGATAAGGTAGGAAATAATTTAGGAAACGTAGCAGATACACACCACAGCAATGGTGTATGGTCTTAGATTCATTTACAGACGTATTTAGCAATGTTGTGGTGCATATATGAAACGAAACATGAGATTACTGATACTCCATTCAATTCCATTCAGTACTCTAAATGTACTCTTATTGTTTTCCAGTACTCCTATATTGAAAAAATAAGGAGTATGTTCTCCTGATCATGAAAAATTATCTGGAGCCCTGTATTAGATTTAACTACATTACATGGAACTTTGTAATTCCAATTTGGGAATTTGTACTGACAAATGTTGCAGGCTTCCAGCCAAATACTGGCCTGCAGCAGGTCTAGATAACCCCCTGCAACAATGTCAACTGGTCAATACAAGAGTCCCCAAAATACCAGTTCATTTCAATATAGTTATAACCTGATGAACCCATTAGACAAAAACACATTGCAGTTCATGAACATTCACTGTCCGTGATTTCTAGATAACCACTCACTTGTATTCTTCAAACATCCTCTCTTCCTCTTCATCGATGTCATCTTCATTCTCATCAAGCTCATCCAGATTCATGTCAGCTAACGCCTTCCCTGAGACAGCAAGGCACAACCATGGTGACAGGGAGCAAAGTAAGAACTGACATGGAGGGATTTACGTTAGTCTATCGTGTTTATAAATTTACGGGGATGAAAAATGTAGTATTGCAACAAAGAGATCCTGACACAGAATCGTAAACACATCTAACTCTGCAAAATATGTTGCAGAGCCTTAGATGACTTGGCCTTTCCTCATCTGCTCAAAGGGTATGTGAAAAGCAACATAAATCAATGTTAGAGGTGAGGTGAAAGGTGCTGTGCCATCACAACATAGATAACTGCAGCAAGCTTTGTTTCCCTTGTGTTTATGGATGCTTTTTCTATACCAGACTTATTTTTATTTTATCGTGCTTGCCCACTGCGATACCATTCTACAGTTTAACAAGAGATACTTCGCTCAGAAACGGTATACTGACTCCAAGGCAACTAGTTATGGTTTTATTCCCAAAATGCTGAGTTCCAGGCAGGGTGACAACAAGTACCATAGTTTAAAATCTTGTGGTGTTACACGGCAGCTAAACAATGTAGAACTTAGAAGTACCGTGGCCGTGTGACCTGTATTCTACTGACCTTGGCTGTGTGAAATGTATTGTACTGACTGACCTTGGCTGTGTGAGCTGCACTGTACTGACCTTGGCTCTGTGAGCTGTACTGTACTGACCTTGGCCGTGTGAGCTGTATTGTACTGCCGTGTGAGCTGGCTATATTGTACTGACCTTGGCGTGTGAGCTGTATTGTACGTGTGAGCTGTACTGACCATGGCCGTGAGTGAGCTGTATTGTACTGACCATGGCGTGTGAGCTGTATTGTACTGACTGGCTCTGTGTGTGAGCTGTATTGTGTGAGCTGTGAGCTGTATTGTACTGACCATGGCCGTGTGAGCTGTATTGTACTGACCTTGGCTCTGTGAGCTGTATTGTACTGACCATGGCCGCTGTATTGTACTGACTGTTGGCGTGTGAGCTGTATTGTACTGACCATGGCGTGTGAGCTGTATTGTACTGACCATGGCCGTGTGAGCTGTATTGTACTACTGACTGACTATGGCGTGTTATTGTACTGACCATGGCCGTGTGAGCTGTATTTGTACTGACTGACCATTGGCCTTGTGTGAGCTGTATTGTACTGACCATGGCCGTGTGAGCTGTATTGTACTGACCATGGCCGTGTGAGCTGTATTGTACTGACCATGGCTGTGTGAGCTGTATTGTACTGACCATGGCGTGTGAGGAGCTGACCATGGCCGTGTGAGCTGTATTGTACTGACCATGGCCGTGTGAGCTGTATTGTACTGACCATGGCCGTGTGAGCTGTATTGTACTGACCTTGGCCGTGTGAGCTGTATTGTACTGACCTTGGCTCTGTACTGACCTTGGCTCTGTAAGCTGTATTCTACTGACCATGGCCCTGTGAGCTATGTATTCTACTGACCATGGCCTGTGTGAGCTGTATTGTACTGACCATGGCCGTGTAGGCTGTATTGTACTGTGAGCTGTATTGTACTGACCATGGCCCTGTGTAGCTGTGTATTGTACTGACCATGGCCCTGTGAGCTGTATTCTACTGACCATGGCCCTGTGAGCTGTATTGTACTGACCTTGGCCCTGTGAGCTGTATTGTACTGACCATGGCCGTGTGAGCTGTATTGTACTGACCTTGGCTCTGTGAGCTGTATTGTACTGACCTTGGCTCTGTGAGCTGTATTCTACTGACCATGGCCCTGTGAGCTATATTGTACTGACTGACTTTGGCTGTGTGAGCTGTATTGTACTGACCTTGGCCGTGTGAGCTGTATTCTACTGACCTTGGCCGTGTGAGCTGTATTCTACTGACCATGGCCCTGTGAGCTATATTTTACTGACTGACCATGGCCGTGTGAGCTGTATTGTACTGACCATGGCCGTGTGAGCTGTATTGTACTGACCATGGCCGTGTGAGCTATATTCTACTGACCATGGCCGTGTGAGCTGTATTCTACTGACCTTGGCTCTGTGAGCTGTATTGTACTGACCTTGGCTCGTGTGAGCTGTATTCTACTGACCATGGCCGTGTGAGCTGTATTCTACTGACCTTGGCTGTGTGAGCTGTATTCTACTGACCATGGCCGTGTGAGCTGTATTCTACTGACCATGGCCGTGTGAGCTGTATTGTACTGACCTTGGCTGTACTGAGCTGGCCGTATTCTACTGTATTGTACTGACCATGGCTGTGTGAGCTGTATTGTACTGACCATGGCTGTGTGAGCTGTACTGTACTGACCCTTGGTGTGTGAGCTGTATTGTACTGACCATGGCCGTGTGAGCTGTATTGTACTGACCATGGCCGTGTGAGCTGTATTGTACTAAGCTGGCTCGCCAGTGTTATGGTTAGAGCGTTGGACTCATAATCCAGTGTTTGGAGTTCAAGTCGGGATAGCGACAGAAACACCCAACTCAACTCAACCCTGGAACATGACTCCCCAACTCAACTGTATTGTACTGACCTTGGCCATGTGAGCTGTATTGTACTGACCTTGGCCGTGTGAGTTGTATTGTACTGACCTTGGCTGTGTGAGCTTTATTGTACTGACCTTGGCTGTGTGAGCTTTATTGTACTGACCTTGGCTGTGTGAGCTTTATTGTACTGACCTTGGCTCTTATCTTGAATGGTCTGCTCCACCATGTTGACCAAGTCATCCTCAGTGACTTCCTGTTCTTTGGGCGGGATGATGCCTTTAGCTCGGAGTACATCATTCCATTCAGTGTCAGCGTTTGGGTCCTGCAACAACAGCAACAATTAACTAAAGGTGCTCTACAACCTCAACTAAGAAATTATCACAAAGTCCACATGCTCTAAGAACCTGAATATTCCATAGATTTATATTTTCTTTTCACTTGACTTAAAATACCTGATACAAAATAGACCTGTGTATCGTCAATCACTACATGTAAGTAACTTAAATCTTTTAGTGTCATTTTGAAAGAGGATTGGTATGAAAATGTAGCACATTGTACCATTTACACAGATTTATTTAGTATTCCAAAGCAAATGCAGTTGTTGGGCAAACTGTAAAAAAACTAACTTTGTCAAACTGGAATTGTATGAAGTTGTGTTGTCCTTAAATACAGGCATGATACAGGCATAGTAATATAGCAATACATGAAGCTCTTTATCACAGTGCTTATTGGTGCAGTTATATTTGTTTTAACTATATTTACCTAAGTTAGGATTTATTAACACTAACTTTTACCAAGAGATTGCACTCTACGGAGAACACCTGCCTCTGAGCTGATCTATGTCTATGATAAATCCCTGATTTAGTTTTCAATATGTATTAATATATCATATACCATATTGTTATGAATAATGTGGATCATTTCAGCCTTATTCTTTTCCTGTATAACCATGAACACAACAGACCTACAAGGACAACGTGCTATCGTGTTCCTCGTCTAGTCCCCTGGGACGTGTGAAACGTGTTACCCAGAGACAATATTGTGTGGTCTTGTACATTAGGAATACACCATCACACATGTTCACCAAGTTTATAAAGGTCATCAGAAAACACAGCTTATGTACAGTACACAAGATGTACTTGAGGAATAGGTAAATGTTCTCGTCCATATAGGTAAATGTTCCCATCCATAATTTCCCCAATGAATATAGTCTATAATAATATAATAATAATTGCTTTGTATAGCCCCTATTTCCAGCTATATGCAGCTGCTCAATGGTGCTTTACACGTTACAGTTCAATCACTAGATGAGAAAAGAAATGTTTTGAGTTTTCTCTTAAAAGTTGGGAGAGAGTCACTGTTCCTGATGTCAAGGGGGACCGTGTTCCACAGGGCGGGAGCTGCAACTGAGAAGGCACGATCTCCAGCCTTTGTTGACATTGATAGAACAACCAGTTTCTCCTTCTGGGCAGAACATAAGGTTCTGGATGGGTGGTAGACTGATAGAAGGTCCTTTAAATAAGTAGGCGATGACTCAACATAGAGAGCATTGTACGTCAAGACGAGCAACTTGAAACTGACCCGATGTCTAATGGGCAACCAGTGTCATATATTATGATTTACTGAGATACCATGCAACAACCATACCATCATGACCATGCATGTTCTACTAGATTCTGCACCAATATCCCAGTTCAACATAACAATCCAGAATAATCTTGACACTCACTGAGACAATAACCTTGTCATCAAGAGATCAGTGTACAGTGATATATTAGTTTAAACAGTAATTCCACTGGAAGACTAAAGTCCAGTTTGGACTGCAGTGTGCATAAGATGGAAATCACATTTTGGGCAAATAGTTAAGCCCTTTGGTATTTCATGTTAAATGAACCATTAGTGAGTGAGTGAGTTTAGTTTTACGCCACTTATAGCAATATTCCAGCAATATCATGGCAGGGGACACCAGAAATGGGCTTCACACATTGTACCCATGTGGGGAATCGAACCCGAGTCTTCAGCGTGACGAGCCAACACTTTAACCACTAGGCTCCCCCACTGCCCCCAAATGAACCATTCAGATTGAAGATGGAGGTGCATGTGTTTGGAATATCCCAGCACTACACTACAGACAACATACATGTATGTGATACAGTTGACTTATTTATGATGTTTGCATAATACATGCCAGCTTGTGTATCTTATAACTTGAAAACAAGAAACAGATAATCAAGCAATAAATTAACAGTGGAGGTAGCTATGCATTAATAATAAATACCATGGCATATTTATGTTCAAAACAACACCTAAAACCTTCATAGTCCATTTTGTATTGACCAGACCTGTTACATATGTCTTATAGGACACACTCTTGGTATTCTTGGAAGTGAGAGTTCACACATCAAACATGTCAAACAATACTAATTTTGATAAGTTAACCTACTTTCAAATCTCATGCTGCGTAACCACAAAAGGTGTTTGATAGTTTTAGATATATCCCCACTGTAACATATATGGTATGTTACTGAAGGGGCTGTGGTCATCCTCATCATCAGTTACACTGAAAACACATTGTTTGTTGATACGAACAACTTGGTCAAGCACTGGAATGTGTGAAATGTCAAACTGTAACAGACTGTGATGAACATATATTATAAACTGGTCCTTTCTCTCATAAATTCAATCCTGTCTAGATTAGAAAACTGTCATTGATATCATGATAATGAAATATGTATGGGATTAGGTTTTGTCTAGCACCGTCATAGTTCATATGAATAAACTCGTATTCCAGCCAAGGCCTACATAGTCGAGCACACCTTGGTATAGTGCAAAGTCGTCTAGTTATATGTTGGACTAGCACCATCAGAGATTCTGATTAATCCACAAACAAAATCACAGCTAGCTATGTGATCTTCTCCTGGTAAGAGTAATCTAACTTTATCTTTGACAAAACTGGACATGATTGCTAAGATGTGACAGAGTCAATAAGAATAGTTTTACTCCAATTATTATCAATATTCAAGCAATATCATATCAGGGGACCCCAGAAATGGGCATCACACATTGTGCCCACAAGTATACATGACTAAATAATGTAGAAATCTACAATTTCCTTGCCCATCTTAATACTAACAAGACAAAACTAAAACGTTGTCTAATCCGCTGCACCATCAAGAGCATAGTACTTTCTGATCATCATGTGCAAACACTGTCAAGATGATATGGGTTTTTAATGTTTAAAATTCTGACTTCCTCTTTTCTGCATGTTAAGTCACCAGTGTTCAAATAGTTCCCTCGGTTCAGTGTGTGTCACAACAGGAGTGGGATACTTCTATTACTCCAGTTATAAAATCCAACGAATTTCAGAACTGACCGGGAATCACGATCTTCACGAAGAAAGAAACCACTTCTCCATGCAACAATCCAAGCCGCTCCACGTTCACTCAGTCGGAAGATTAACAGAACTCTCCCCGTAACGGGACTGTGCAATTGCCGTTCCGGGTTCACCGCGAAACATCAATTTCTTGCAACTTACCTGCATTTTGTTCTCCTAGTATGAAGCGATCTCAAAATGTAGACTGATTGTTGTAAAGATATATCGCTCACCACTCACATGTAAAGGGCGATTCCCGTTGTGAGCCTCGTTCGGGAGATAACTCGTGACGTCACATAAGGAATTCCCCTCTTGTCGTCATTCCATATTTGGAAGTAGATTACGCACCTGGATAAGTGTGACGAAGTGCTAATTTTCGTTTATTACCCAATGTTATGTGTCATTTTCAACATGTAAGGTTACCTGTACATGGTAGCATCTGTCTTGTGAACACCCGTTGCGGGAAATAAACCCCCGTTGTGACAACCTGGCATTGTGTAACTGCAGGGGCCATTTGATATCCACCGTTTGTTGTTCCTGTAGTACAGATGAGTGTGACTTTGCTTTTAGTAAAATGCTTTCACATCTTATTCTAAAACAGACAGTTCCGCTTTTTTACTACCATTTCTTTCCTTCCTGTTTACAATTACATGATCAAACCAAAAGCACAGTTTTAAATATGATAGAAAATGTCTGTTCGCACATCTTTAGGACATATACTGAGAGTAACAAATAAAGGAATGCATGAAAATTCAGGCGTTGTTTTATTATTTTCCAGTTTTCATCACCAGCTTTGAATAGCGCTGTGGGAGTAAATCTGAGAATGAATAAAGGAACACTGCCATGAATTAAGTGGTGTTCCCTTATTTGTTTCCCTCAGTATATTTGAATACTCTTCGAAAACCTATGTGATAAACTCTTTTGACATTTTGTAAAGTTGAAACGAACCACAGCTCACAAGAATAAAGATGCTCAGCTTGGTTTCTACGGAAAACGGATGAAATCAAAATCTACTTATCGTTTTCGATACCGTGTTATGGGAAAATTGTTCTAAACGACAGGTCAAATTTAAATTATTATTGTTCAATATTTAACCAATCCGTCGGTCAAATGACTTTAATGTGTATCACACTTCAATCAAAGTTACCCGTCTCGGGCGTTCGAGCGGACGGCTATTTCGAACAATGTGTTCACGTAGGGATGTACATTTGTTGGATACAGAACTTACAATTGTTGGGAAAAATCCCCGATGCTGTTCAAATTTTATATGTAGCAGTTGCACCTTTGTTTCATAAATGTCAAACAAGGAAAGAGGGGAGTTCGAGAAAGAAAGGGCTTTTGGAGGTACGTGTATTGTATTCCATTGCGTTTTTAACATTTCAAGCTCAAGCAAGTTGTCGGAAGTGAGTGAGTGAGTGATATATTTAGTTATTTAGCATGGTGGCAAACACTTCAACCACTAGCCCCGGCCCTGAAATTTTCGAGTTCTTATCAAGAGGAATATGATATTGATATAACAATACTGAAACTATGTTAAGCAATATCGTGTTTAAAATTTACCTGAATGGGCACCTTGCACTTCCTCCTTTGTTCATCATAGGCCGAAATTTGAAGCCCCCGATTGTAAATTGTTCCAAACAACTATACCTGTCGAGACAGCGTCACAGGTGATTTATATAGATCGGTACGTACCCCGATTATTTGTTTAAATATACATAAGACACAACTGCCGATCGACATCTTATATTTGAAAGTTGATAGAATTGCTTTTTTCCGACACAAATTTACATCGTTTCACACATGGTAGCGGTCAAGTGGTTCCAAATATATTACCCCACTTGTCATTTAACCAATTACCCAACCATAGATTACCTTGTACAGTCTGAAATATAAATGAGTGATGTACGGTTAAGGAGAAATAATATAGTTTGGCAAAAGTTCTTTCAATTATCAATTACCGACTTTTATATTCTAGCGAGAATAATATATGGCTGATATTCCGTTAAAACGGACTGGTGTTCATTTGAGCAACTGTACTTCCCATCCAATGTTTAGACTCACTAGTGTAAATGTAGCCACTTACATCAAGCAACTCTTCTGAACTGAATTTTGCAAAACTTTCCATATTGTTTAAAGGTACTGTTTACACATGAACTTATGTATTGTAAAACAAATTTGCCCAGTTGAAAAGATTATTGTCATGAGTTCAAGAAATGATAAAACTCAGTGAAAATTGGCAAATTCTCAACAAAACTTTACACCAAAACGCAGCTGTTCACATGTATGATATTTGCGCAAGCTTTTCCGCAATTTGATGCATGATCCTCGTGCAATTCATCTGCAAAAGGTTTGCAGTTGGTTCCCCGCAAGTTAGTGGATAAATCAATCTTCGATGTAACCATAAATATATATAGTGAGTGTTTTAAGTCTAAACTTTTGATGGGAAGTATATATTGAAAGTTGTCAGAGGTCGGAGATTTTACAAGCGCTTCCTGGATATCACATTTTCAGAGAAGGATCTGCAGTAATGTCATTGAGAAGTCCGCTGGATAGTTTAATCTGCACTATTGTATCATCAAAGGTAAGAGTGAGTGAGTGAGTTCAGTTTTATACCGCTTTTATCTATATTCCAGCAATACCACGGCGAGGCACAGCAGAAATGGGCTTCACATATTGTGCCCATGTGGGGAATCGAACCCGAGGCTTCGGCGTGACAAGCGAACGATTCAACCACTAGGTTATCCCACCGTGCCTTTCAATGGTACAGTACAACCAGAATTTATTGAGAATTTAAAGATTGTAATTTTTTTAATTTTTTAACTCATTACTCACGTATTAAATGTGAATTCTAGCAGAACATAACTCCAGATTCAAAGACAGCTGAACAGTTAGTATTTTGTCAAGTCACCATGGGAGCAATGCAGGCTTCAATGCGGCGGGGCATGCTACTGATCAAAGAAGTTAGAAAGTCGTGGTCCATGCTGTCCCAATATCGGACCACCTCTTCTTTCATTTCAGAAATATTTGTCAGATTATTCTTATTGACACTTTCCTTCATAAGTCCCCAAACATTTTCTATTGGATTTAGGTCAGGGTTATAGCTTGGCCAATCTAATAATGTCATATTTTGGGTCCGAAACCAGGCCTGTGAATGCTTTGAACGATGTTTTGTGTCGTTGTACTGCTGGAAAATCCAAATAATTCTATAGAACACGTGAGCAAATGGAAGTAAATGTCCCTCGAGAATATCTGTGTACCGTTCACTGTTCATATTCCCTTCAAATACACAGAGGGGCGTTGCCCCTAACACAGATATACCACCCCACACGTTAAATTTCGGATTGTACTTTGGGCGCTGATACAAAGGTTTTTCAGTTTGTTTGGTCCAGAATTTCAGTGTTTTAGGAAACAGCCACACAGAACTTTCATCTGAGAAAATCACATTGTCCCAGTTAAAATTTCTATGCTGTAAGCACCAGTTCAACCTTAGCTCCTTTTGTTCAGGTTTCATGATCGGTGATGGAATTCCTCGACTTTTCTGCCAACCCATTGCATGCAGCTCAGTTCTAATTGTCTCCTTACAGACAGCCACAGTTCCTATATCAATCATATCCAGCCTTAAGTTTTCTAAACGCCTTCGTTTGTTTTAGAAACAAGAATACCAAGCCGCCTCCTGTCACCGACAGTCAATTTTCTGGGCCTTACTGCGCCTCCCTGGTGCTCAGTGCCATATCCATTTGCAATATTTTTCAAAACACGATAAACAGTGGACAAAGGGATGCCTGTTCTACTTAAGCTGATCTGATGTCCTTGTTATAATACTCTAAAATCAACTTCCTCTTCTCTAAATCATCCATACTGAGGATCACAGAAAATGTCGTCTGCTAGCAAGTAAACAAAGGGGGATAACTCTTCACAAACTAATGAAAAAGGATTAACGGAGTTGTCTCTCTTGAATGAAACCAAGCACTTGATAGCTGGTCAAGATTGTTTATACTAGAAATCCAATTAAACATATTCCTAAAATTCTCAATAATTTCTGGTCATACTATAACGCATGATTGTCTTAGTTCACTGTAACACCCCTTTCATCAGTATCTAATCTATACCGACTACTGTTGCGTGCGGCGTTAAACAACACCGAAAACTCCAAACATATGGCGGTGTTGCTTAATGTTTAATCAATCCGAAAAAGACTTTTAGTGAAACTCGTAATTCTAGCTGAAGGGGATCCTGCCAGGGCAAAGGAGACGCAAGTTTTAACAGCGACATGCGACGCCTTTCATCGCTTGGTCACCCGTGTCACTTGTTAGTTAGGAATCAATGCAAAACTCCTAATATAACATATGGCGTATTTGGGATTACACTTTCTCAGTATACTGCAGATTCTAGTGCTTATGATGTGTTGAGTCCCATCCGGGATTCGAACCCACACCCAGGCAGAGTCAGGCACCTACTCGCCAGCGTGGAAGTAGCGGTGGCTTAGCAGGTTAGGCGGCTGACTTTGTGTCCTGGCGATTAGGTGCCTGACTTTGAGGGTGTGGGTTCGAATCCCGGATGGGACTCAACACATCATAAGCACTAGAATCTGCAGTATACTGAGAAAGTGTAATCTCAAATATAACATATGTTACATTTGACCACTTTCTAAATGGCACCGTGTATTCAAAACTCTTAATACTTCCCTTTACTGGGGCGAGCACACACCTGCCATGTCCCGGGAGCAGATAAGCATATCTTTTGCAGAACTCCACACGCGACGCACTTACCGAACAATGGCCGACCCAGATAAACGTTTTCACTCTCGCTGTGCGTGAAACTAAATACCAATAATGACACTGTTGCTGAATAAAAAGTGTAGATCGAAACAACCCAGATTATCTTGCAAAACGGACGACTATAAGTTAACTTATTTTCAGCAATTACCAATTTTACACGAAAACTGAAATTTAACAATGGCACGGTGAAGATCAAATACAAAGTGGTAAATGTGTTAATAGTGTGTCGTACTCACGGTATGTATCGGGGGGAAGGTGATATGCCTCATTGTACACTCGGCTGCTGGCAACAGCTCGGGAGCCGTGGCTTTATTTAACAAGCAAGCACCATTCTGTCTAAACATTCCAAAACCAGATTTGTGCTGATTGCCTTTCATAGTCTGACGGGGCGGTGGGGTAGTCTAGTGGTTAAAGCGTTGGCTCGTCACGCAGAAGACCCGGGCTCGAATCCCCACATGGGTACAATGTGTGAAGCCTATTTC